AAAAAAAAAAAAGACATCAAAACGTTCAGTTGAAAAGCAAAAAGAAAAAAGAAAAAAATCAAAGAAAATAAGTGTCACCTCAAAAAAATTGCTATAAATCATTTAAATTCCTTTTCAACAAAAATGTCAAAAACCATTACCAGATCATCTCATGTCTGCTCAAACTCGCTCTTAAAAGTCAGTCAATAAATACAAATCTTATATACACATAATAAATAAATAACTTTAAAACAGAGACATTGGCTGTGTTGGCTTTTTGATTCAGAAATTTTCACAAGCATAATGCGCGTCTCCCGCTGATAAATACACCTGCTCTGCATGAAGTGCTACTATCAAATTACATAAAGTTTCAATCTTCCGCACCGCACGCACTGATAGATGATGATACATAGAAATAAATGAATAAAAATAGACACCTCTTGGGTAAGCTAAAGCTCGATTGTGGATTTCTTGTGGAACTCCATGGCGGCAAGCTGTGTAACTGCAGCATCTAATTTCACCCTTTTCACTCGCTCGCTCGCTCTCTCTCAGAATTTTTCTTCACCTCAATTTTAATCAATGTTGATAGATAAAGAATCCAACAAATGAGGTGGGTTCTTGAGGATAATGAGATTTGAATTTTTCTTCACCTCAATTTTAATCAGTGTTGATAGATAAAGGAACCCAACAAATGAGGTGGGTGGTTCTTGACGATAGTGAGACTCATGATGCATGCGAAAAACATTTGGTTAAAGTGGGAGAAACCCAGAAAGTGACTGCAAAATTGCCCAATAAAACAAAATGGAATAGTAGTCGTGACTCGTGAATAATGTTTGTACAAATCGGGAACCAACTGGTTCACAAGGCCTAAGGAAGGCAGATATACCCAATCATTTCCTTATTACTATTATCATTTATCTATTTTTATACTTTAGGTTTTATGTTTACCCGTCGACTTTTCTAGTTGGCTCCTCGACTATTTCGAGAGGTAAACCATGGGCGTGCCCTGCTGCTAGCCGTATCGTACCCTTTTTTCACCTTAACGCCCGAGAAAGTCTAATACCACAGAAAGAATTACCAGTTTGTTCACTTTTCTCTAAAATTGTCATCCCTTTACTCTAAAGCTCCAAAACGTCTACGCAATAGAAGTAATTAGAGTTTGTCACTTTTCTCTAAAATAGAAAAAATATTATGATAGTTTTCTCTCTCTGAGATTTGATGCCCCTACGAAGAGCATCTGGCCCCAGCTATGACAGTTGTGCTACTAGCAGGCTATGCCCCCGAACTCCTATTCATTCTTAATCCATTTTAGCATAAACTATAAAAAAATTTTATTATTTAAAGACTATTAAATTATTTAAGCATATCCAATTCTAATCAACATAATATTCAATTCAGTATTAACATGAAATTTATTTATTTAATTATTTTTTTCTATTTTAAATTTTTTTGGTAGGTTTTGACTAATTAATATATATATATATATATATATTATTTTTTATGAGTTTATAAAATATTATAAAGATATAAGACATATGATATTTTCATACAAATTAATTACATATACTTGTAAAATTGTCGATTGTCTTAGTCTTCTAACTTTTTTTTAACAATTCATAATTTTAACATCGCTCGATAGTTGACTAACGTTTAACCCATAATATTTATCTTCATTTATTATCATTCTTAGTGCATGAGATGTTATAATATTTGATAATTAAATTTTAATTTTTAGTAACTTTAAGTTTTATGCAACAAAGGTTTTCATGGTTAAATATTTTATTTGTATTTTTATAATTTTGGTTTATATTTATTTCTGTAATTTATTTTTTCAACATATATAATGAGTTAACTAAGTATCCATTTGAATATTTAGATATATTTATATTTATATTTATTCATGATTACCAAGTGCTATAATTTAAGTTATGATAATTGAGTATTTTATTTACTTATTTTCATTTATAGGAAAATACATGCCCGCAATATTATGCCCGATTACCCGGGGCCAAACTGTCCGGCCTTAGTGTTTATCCATATCCTACCACCTCTTAGTCATCTTTATATTACATCTTATCCTCTTAAGATTCCTCATTATCCCAAATTTTTGTTGATTTTAGGATATGAGACTTCCTGAGGTCGTCTGCTCAATAGTCCGCTAGTCTAGATTGACCTACTCCGGTTACTCAGGAAGTTTAAGGGGCCTTAGGTCGTCTGATGATGAGATTATTCGAATGTCCTTAATCGAGGTTATACAGGTCGTCTGAGGGTAAGGTCATCATACTAATCAAGCTTGTTCCTTAGGTCGCTCTGACAGCTCGTTCTCCACTTCGGTCGAGCTCCGCAAACTTAGGCTATTTTTGGTTCACATATATGGCTATATCATCTTGTCCCCCTAGAATTTACTCCAAGCGACCTCGAGCTTCGGAGTAAATTTATTACGGTTGGACTTTCTAACACGGTCTGACATCTGTCGTAATTTTGAATTTGAAAGGACTTTTGTCACTTTTTATTGTGTGTCCTCGAAGTTGGCGCACGATCTTAACCGTACGGTCTTTCTTGATTTAAAGTTCCAAATACCTCAGATCGACTATAAGTACCTCCTCTGATTTCATTCCAACACTTTCGCTATTTTGATCACTTTTGAATTCTAGAGACTTCGCAACGTCCTTGGCATATTGCAATTCCGACGACCTTTTTCCGGCTATCAAATAATCTCCGATCCATTAAACAATCCATCATAAGTAAGTTCTTTTCCTTTCGACTCAGTAATGATCTTTTTTTGTTTTTCTAGGTTTCAAGTTTCTTTGATATCCTTCGCATTCTACGTGTTCTTCATTGTGTTCATATTTGTTTTTGTTTTTCCTAAATTCCTAGCAAAGTTCTTGTTCCTCTCAGGTAGACTTCGACATAAGTCAAATTTTAAGTTTTGTCTTCGAGGTCATCTCCTATCTGTATCACGACCTTGACTTAGTCGTCTCCTACTCTTATTTTTACTTATGTACTGACTGCGATTTTTTTTAGAACACACTATAGATTCCTCCCATGAATCGACTAGTCGTGTGGTTGATGGAGCCTCCGGTTCATCAGATTCTTCTGTTCGAATAATAGGCTACGAACTCGTTCAAGTCCAATATGGCCCTTTTAGAGAGTTGGATGATGACTCCACTGGGGAGGTCGATTGGGATGAATATAACCGAGCTCTGAGGTTAAGCTCTCAAGAGGAATCTGATAGATCTTCTCATTTTGAGTTCATTCCCGAAGGTATTCCTCTTAGAGTGTTAGATATTCATGTATGTATAGTTAGCCCTATTCATATACCAATAACTGTTCCCCTTCTCGACCTAAGCAATCATGTTGTAACAATGGCATGCCCTTTAGCCAAAGTAGCAACCTAAATCTAGTTTGTTATGCTCCAACAACCAACATCGTAGGTTTTAGGTCGTACTGTGAAATGCCTACACATTCCGATTTGTTCGCCCCCACCCCTAATGAAGATTACTTGCATTCTCTTAAAGGTTGTTATACATTTTTGTCGACCAAGTGCTCTTTGTTCTTCACTTTTCTATTTAAAACGAGCAGTTGACCCTTAGTAATATGTATAATATGCCTATCAACCAGCTCGCTCTTATCCGTATTATAATCTCCTTCATCATGCTCTCCAAAATACACCTGAATTTTTCTTTTACTACTATGGTTATAAGTTCCAAATGGGAACCCACTACATGGGTTGTTGTAGCGGGGCTACATTTTTGGATGACTTTCCCTCTAATTTCACTGAGTGGAGATCAAAGTTTTTCTTCGTTCAGTCTTCTTCCTGGTATTATTGATTCACCAACTCTTGGGAAATCGAAGAAGGTGTCTCAACGCAATAAACTGCAATCTGTTCAGTTCGCGGAGATGGTCAAAGAATTGAATAAAAATAGTTGGAGTTCTTGAAAGATGGTTAGGGATCTCACACTGTGACACTAGTGTGGTATTACCAAAGAGGGCGATGTACCCTTTGAACTCATCCTCGGTAAGTTTTCTTTTTTCCTGTCCTGATATATATGTGTGTTTACTGTTCTTACCCTTTTTTCTTTTGCAAATTCTTACCTACAACATTTCGAGGTCAAGAG